GGGTCAGTGCTGAGGGAGTGCCACACTGTCAGAGGGTCAGTGCTGAGGGAGCGCCGCACTGTCGGAGGGTCAGTGCTGAGGGAGTGCTGCACTGTCGGAGGGTCAGTGCTGAGGGAGCGCCGCACTGTCGGAGGGTCAGTCAGTGCTGAGGGAGTGGGCACTGTTGGGATAATATGGGTATTATTTGACTGCCTGGGGCTGTAAATGAACTGGAGGCTGACACTTACTTTCTCAATGTCTTCGAGGGTTTTGTAATACTTGGCCTCAGTTTCTTGGATCTCGAGTAGGCAGCAGTTCCTTTTATCATCCTCGGTCATCCCCAACTTCTGTTAAATGCAAGCAACAACAAATTACTGGCAGTGAGGTTGAGCAGTCACATGGGGAGAAGGGTGTGAAGGAGGAGAGCGTCAAGGAGTTGGAGGGGGAGAGGAGATGGGGTGGGGGGTGTGAGGCAATGGGGGTCAAGGAGATGGACAGGTGAGGGTTTTGCATAGATAGAGGTGCAAGTCAATGGGGGTAATGAGGGGAGGGCATGGAGGGGGCTGTTGAACCGGGGAGGACACATGGAGAGGGGACAGATTGCACAGGAGGGTGAGGAGAGGGTCGAGGAGAACAAGTGGAGGGAGGTGAGGTGGTGAGGGGCAGAAGACACTGTGGAGCCATAGACAGTCCCATGAACCATGTCACTGAGCAATGTGCCCTAAGCAACGTGCCCAGAGTTATTTCTAATTCAATGACGTAAACTCTAAGTTTCAACTTGATGGTTTAAGAAATGAGGGTCCACAGGGGAGTATGGAACGAGCAGGGGATTGGTCAGGGTGGAGACTGATTGTGTCTTACCTGCACATACTTGACCTGCAGCATCAGAAAATCAAAGAGGTTTCAGTAAAATTGCAGCAGAAACACAATTCATCCCAGAGCCTCCCTATGTGACAGCAAACAGACACAGGGCCATGCTGTCCTTTATCACAGAAATCACATACTTTCATCACCATTTACATTTGTCCCAAACGCTAATTAAGACTGAGAAAACAGAACTTTACTTCACAGAGGCTGGGTGAGAGAAAGGTCACAGCAGCCAGGATAGTCAAAGAGGGAGGGGAGAGAGTGGAGGAAGGTGCTGAAAAGAGGCCAGAAGAGATCTAAGAAGAGTACAAGGATTGAGTGACTGTGGCCTCCTCCCCGGGGGCTTCAAGTAAATACTCTGGGCCTTTAACACGAGACACTGGCTGCTCTGGGTGGGTGACTGAGTAATTGTTGGGCAGCGCAGCAATCTCCGTGTTTACCATGGGTTGCCGAACTTCCACTTTGATGATGTCCTCGTAGATATCATCACCATCGTCCTCACATGGGACACAGTCGTAGATATCATCTCCCACGTCATGTTCACTAGGAGAAAAAAAAATACATCCAAAACATGAACAGCAAAATCACCACAGAGTGAAGGAAATGTCCAGGATCACGGGGAGAGTGAGATCGGAGAACACGGGGAAAGTGAGGGGAATCAAGATCACAGGCAGAGACAAGAGGATCTGAGAACATGGGGAGAGAGACAGAGCAATCAGAGAACATGGGGAGTGAGGGTTCTGAGAACACGGGGAGATAGAGGGGGCTCCCGGGGAGGGGGACTGGTCCAAGGAATGCAGGAAGGTGGGAGTCTGCACCAAAGGGTGTACTGAGGGTATGAGAAGCTAACCAAAGGCACGAGCAGTGTCCGGGATAACGTAAGGTAAAAGGGATTTCAGAGACAGGGCCTGTACATCATTACCACCTGATGTACAGCATTCAGTGTTCAATCTCACTGCACATCAGCACTGTCACAGGGTCAGTGCTGAGGGAGCGCCGCACTGTCACAGGGTCAGTGCTGAGGGAGCGCCGCACTGTCACACGGTCAGTGCTCAGGGAGCGCCGCACTGTCACAGGGTCAGTGCTGAGGGAGCGCCGCACTGTCACAGGGTCAGTGCTGAGGGAGCGCCGCACTGTCACAGGGTCAGTGCTGAGGGAGCGCCGCACTGTCACAGGGTCAGTGCCGAGGGAGCACCGCACTGTCGGACGGTTACTGCTGAGTAGACCTGTACCTAAAGATTAGGAGAAACCGGAACATTGAATAATTTAGATATTTCTGGCTGAAGTGGCTTTATCTTGTGATTTCTTGGAAACATTCAAAACGTCTAAGAGAAACATACATTCTCTGCTGTTAACTGTTATCTTCACATTTTATACATTTCTATACAAAAGTCTGGATCGGCCACATCTGGAGTATTGTGTCCAGTTCTGGTTGCCTCATTACAAGAAAGATGTAGAAACGTTGGAAAAGGTGCAGAGGAGATTTACCAGGATGTTGCCTGGAATGGAGGGAAGGTCTTACGAGGAAAGGTGGAGAGAGCTGGGGCTTTTCTCTTTAGAACGACAAAGGATGAGAGGTGACTTGATAGAGGTGTACAAAATGATCAGAGGTATAGATAGAGTGGACAGCCAGAGACTTTTTCCTCGGGTGGAGGTAGCTATTATGAGGGGGCATAGTTTTAAAGTGAGTGGAGGTAGATATAGGGGAGACGTCAGAGGTAGGTTCTTTACTCAGAGTGTGGAATGCATTGCTGAAGAGGGTAGTGGAGTCGGCCTCATTAGGGGCATTTAAGCGGCTATTAGATATGCATATGGATGATAGTATAAGGAAGGGGTGGAGGTTAGATAGACGTTAGGATTAGGGGAAAAGTTCGGCACAACATCGTGGGCTGAAGGGCCTGTACTGTGCTGTACTGTTCTATTATCTAATGACAGCCATGAAAATATTGTCATTTGTCAGAAAAAACCATCAGGTACACTAATGTCCTTTAGAGAAGGAAACTGCTGTCTTACACGGTCTGGCCTAGATGTGACAATGTGGTTGACTCTCTGGGCAATTAGGCATGGGCAATAAATGGGGTATGACTCCCACACACACACTGACTCTCACTGGGGTAGAGCTCCCACACACACTGACCCTCACTGGGGTACAGTCTCTCACACACACTGACTCTCACTGGGGTACAGCTCCCACACACACTGACTCTCACTGGGGTACAGCTCCCACACACACTGACTCTCACTGGGGTACAGCTCCCACACACACTAACTCTCACTGGGGTACAGTCTCACACACACACTAACTCTCACTGGGGTACAGTCTCACACACACACTGACCCTCACTGGGGTACAGTCCCACACACACTAGTGACCCTCACTAGGGGACTATCTGACTGGGTGCTTGTCGGCTGGGTCCTCCACGAATCTAGAAACTGTGGCTTTTACCCACTAGTGGCCCACTGATCAATCTGATAAAGCTGAGTGCTTGTCTTCAGAATATTTCATTAGATCAGACCCTTTACACCTGTATTTGCTATCACCTCGCACCTAGCTCCCTCCACTCCCCATCCTCTCTAATCCCTGCCCCCTCCCCTCCCAATCCCCTCAACACCCGCCCTCAATTGCTCATGCCCCCCTCCCTTCCTGCTCCAAATTGATCCTCTGAAAGGACGTCTTGGGTAGTGAATAACCTTCAGGTCGAGACTCACTCTGCCAGTTCCTCCAGGCTGCGATAAACATCATCATCCACTGCAGTCTCCTCTGAAGGAAAAGGCCTGAGAAACATAGACAAAGCAACACTGTTAAAATCCAAACATTAATCCAACTCATCCTTGGCTGTTCTGCAGAGATGAAGATGTTTCAGATTAATTTGCCTGGCTCAGAAAACTCTGAAGCAGAAAAACACAAGAACATTGCATGGCCTCTCAGATATACACACAAGCAGAACAGTGTTTGCACAGACTCTACGTATACACTCTGTACACATAGCCCAGCAAACACCACAAATGATGAAGAGGAGCAGGTGTGTTGAGGGTCCTGAGCCAGGCAATCAGCATCCTGAAAAGATGCTCGGAGCAGAGTCTTCAGTGTTGGTAAGAAGTAAGGATTTGAAGTTATGATCATATCCAATCTGCAAATATTGGAGCAGGGTCTGAATGTTCCACTCCCGCTAAAATATATGTTTTTGTTTCAACAAGCATTGAAATCATCAGCTGTAAAGGCACAAAACTACAGTCAAGGAATTCCCAGCCAAGCAATTTTAGAAAGCAGTTATCAGCAATATTCAATATACTGACCCTCTGACAGTGCGGCGCTCCCTCAGCACTGACCCACTGACAGTGCGGCGCTCCCTCAGCACTGACCCTCCGACAGTGCGGCGCTCCCTCAGCACTGACCCACTGACAGTGCGGCGTTCCCTCAGCACTGACTCTCCGACAGTGCGGCGTTCCCTCAGCACTGA